GGGTCCTTGGACCCTTAGAGGTTGTCTTTCTGTACATGACCCGTCCGGATTGCAGCACAACCGCTAAGGAGCCCTATCGAAGCAGTTGCCCGCACCCCCGAAACGTAGCAGCCTGATGGCAAGAACCCTTGCCAACTCCCGTGATCCTTGGCATCAACTGACTGGACATAAAGAGCTTATATCCCTGCGGCCCAAACCTTCTGCAAACCCTAGAAAATGTTGGTGCCCAGCATGCCTAAGGGAAGTGTGGCGCTTAATTGACAACAGAGGTTCAAACCCCTAAGAGGCAGAATGAATGTAATAGATGGACTGCAAAAAAAAGTCCGATGTTTGGGACTTCTGGGGTACATTCATCCTTCTGGGGTGCATTTTGAATGTATAGAGATAGCAAGGGAACAAAACTTGCAATTCCTGGGGCTCTCAAACCGTCTTGCCTCCCAAAGGCTGACTAAACAGAAGACTAGGGTTTGGGAGGGCTTTATGAACAACACGAAAGAAAGTCCGTGAAGGCCCCTGTTCACCTCAGAATCCGTACTTCCAACACCTCTCATGGCGCACTGGAAGAGCAAGGACACCAGACCCAGAAGAGGAGCCAAAGGCATCAGCGGTGCGTAGATCAACTAAGCCAGCAGGTCAGCAGGTGGGAAATGGAAGCAGCCTTTTCGGGTGATTTCCTCTGTTGCTTGTACTATGCAGAAGTACAGGCTTTGTAGGGCCAGGTATATGGTTCGGGGGTTTAGGGATTGATCGGATTTGATAGGAGAAGTGTGGGTTCAGGGTTTTTGGGCGTAGCCTTTAGATATCGCAGTCTAACGTACAGAGAACTTCATGAACCGAAGCTACCCATGTAGACCAACCAATAGATGACCTGAACCGCAGCGCTTACTCGGAAGCGCATGCAGCACGGAGAGGCCGGTCAAAGTCATGGGCTTCCCATGAACGCGCAACCTTTGCCCTCTGAAATCAACCGCTTCATCCAGCGACCTAGTCTTCAACACCACGCATCCTCTCATGTAGAGAATGTTCCATAGTAGTACATTAGGGGTGCGTGGTACTTACGTTAACTAGGTTCAAGCTGGCTAAGAAGAATGCATGGTGCTGTTTTCTTCTTACCGCATAGTGGCCAGTTCGCACAAAGCGCGCCAAAGAAACGAACCTCAAAAGTTAGAAGTTAGGAAAGCTCCTTGTCCACTTCCTCCAGAAAAAGAGAAAGGTAAACAGATTTCTCTGAGCGCAGGGCGCAACAGAAGTACCTCCAGTCCACGGCAGCAAACGCAAACACACTAGGACCTGGGAGACCCAGCATTACCCCTAGAATCCAGGCAACAGACCCCGATAGGTAGCAGCATAATCTTTAGTAACTTCCCAATATGCTTCATGGGGCTTCTCCGGGGCCCCCTGTTACTGTTTTGAGAAACCAACACCCAGAGGTAGTGAGTTTTCGGCAACTCCACCCATCTGAAATATGGTGGCTCTGTCACCTGTAATGAGTCATAATGAAAACAAGTCTCCCCGGAGACCTACGAGGAGTTACGAAAGACCGATTTTTGCATCTGGTGCCAGGTAATACTTCCATGTACAATACACCCATCCAGAAATGTGACCTAGGCAGAAAGACTCTGAGACAAAGGTCGACAATGTGTGCCTACCACACCAAGCAGCGGACGACAGGCCTCCACAACCGAAGCCAAACAGGAGACATTTTATTACGAGTGTTCTGACTATTGCTTTTACAATTACTATGACTGTGACTACTACTATTAGTACTACCATCATTATGACACTTAAGCCCTAAACCCTTAAACCCTGAACCCTGAAACCTTTTTGTAAATTGCTATTACGACTACTATTTCCTAAGGGTGCAAGGACCCAAATAATAGGGTTTTAGGGCCCAAATACTATAATATTAATGGTATTAGGGCCCTAAAACCCTATTATTTGGGTCCTTGGATCCTTTTAAAGTTCCCATATATCTCTATATCTCCCCCTAGAACCCCTTTAAAGGGACCCTATTATTTGGGTCCGTGGACCCTTAGGGATTCATAGGAGCTAACAAGCCGGCCAGCTGCAAATTTCTCTGCGGCGACGCTCACCAATAAGGTAACAAATCTCTGGGTTTAGGGTTTAGGGTAGTTTCCCTAAATGGAGAATCACGTGGAAACACAAATGGAAACTACTAAGGTAATTTCTCTAAATAAGGGGACCCAAAGCTTCTAGGGTTCAGGGGGTAAGGTTTAGGGTAGGGGGACCCCAATACAGACCCCAAAGCACTATAATTCTTATTATGGGAACCCCCCAAAAAGGGTACCCCTAATTTTGGGAAACCCCATAATCGATGACATTTCAACGGCAAAAACATGCACAGGGCAACCATAGTCTTGACTATGCGCGGATACTTTCAACACCATACTGTTGTAAATGACACTTATTGCCGTCACCCATCTAGTTCCAGCATGAAAGGCAGCATACTAACTCGCGTGACTCACACACCCTTCAAGCGGATCTGCTGTTTTACTCCGTCCCGCATGTGGACTTGGCTGCTCACTGACGATGAAACGGTTGTTGGGTTGGCTTTGCCGCTGTGGGTGCCTGTTGCACCCGTAATGCTGCTTCTAACTACGATCGCTTACTTAAACCAAAGCCAAACTGACAGTAGGAGGAGCTTTCAAGATCTTACGTGTCTTACCAGAATCTAAATGCAACCCCTTTTTGCAAGCAGACTCCAGAGTAGTACTTCGTACTGCTCGGAAAAGCTTTCGCTGAATTCAAGCCTGCCACCTTCGGTGGCAAACACGAAGCAAGCCCTGCCTGGGCCCTGTCGGGGCAGGTCGCTGAAATTTGAAGGGTCCAGTTAGGGACTATATGTAACGTACTAAAAAGTCCAGCAAGATATCTGTGATCTCTGGAGTTTTCCGTCCAGTGGCTCAGGGACCAGGGGCCGCTATCTCACTGGTGCTGCGCGTCTCATCTAGGCGACTTCCATATCAAAATACCATGCCAGCCCTGTCACGACTGACCCCCGGGAGCTCTGATCCGACGTTACGGGCTAGATGCTCATCTTCTTGCTCAGGCACATGCTGCGGCGCATGATTCTGCAACCAGGCATTCCGGCTTGCTCTCAAGGGCGAGATACGGTGCTCTTCTGAAGTCAAGATCAAGTTGTCGAGCAAACTGTTGGCCTCCCTGGAGATGTGCGAGCCCCGTTCCTGCATGCTGTGTATCTTGCCTTTCGTCAGCGCCTTCAGGAAGTCGTCCCCACGCATGTTGGAAAACTCCTGCTGGGCCTTGACTTTCCGAGGATATCCCGTGAGCAGAAGGTACATGACAACGCCACATGACCACGTATCGACACCTTCAGTGTAAAGCCCTTCGTGGACCTGAGGCGAAGCGTAGTACGGGGTCGTCACCTTCTCCGTCATAGGCTCTTCGGTGAAGGGGCAAGCTGTTGCGAAGTCCACTAGCTTGATCAATGTCTTTTGAACGAGGGAACGGTCCTTGAACAAGATGTGCTCTGGCTTGATGTCACGATGGCAAATCCGCCTCTGGTGCATGTGAGCCGTGGCGCTTAGGAGCTGGATCATCACATTGGCAGTCTCTTGCTCGGTGTGGGCCTCCGCTTCGAGGATGGCGTCAAAAAGCCTGCCACCCTTGGCATATTCGATGATCTCGTAGAAGTACCCGTTGTGCATGTAGCATTCCTGGAGCTGGATGATGTTCGGGTGGCAACATTCCTTCAGCATGATTGCCTGCTGCTTGATCATGTCAGAGGTACGATCGTGCTTGGAGCTTCGATCGGCTTTCCGGAGCGCGTGCTGCTTGCATGCTGCCAGCTCGTCAGTTTTCTTGTGCGACACCAGCCGGATCACTACCTTTGTCCTCTTGGACAACATGGTGTCTGAGAAAAAATACCTGCCAGCCACATCCCCGTCATGCAACAAGCCAGTCAGCACGATTTTCTGCAACCTTTCTTCGAACGTGAAGGCTCTGTCAGAATCCTCAGCATCACCGTCATCATCATCGCTGTCCCCGCTTCCTTGCGTGTGCTTCCTTTCCCAAGAAAGCAGCGACGTCAAGGATCCCATGGAGATGCGTCGAAAGAAGCTGGTTGCGTTGGAAATCCCAGACTTCGTTGCCTTGATGGACCCGGATCGCGAGAGCTTGGATGCGGTGGAGACTTGTCTGGTTAGCTTGGCCTCTTCCTCTGCATCTCTCTTGGCAGAAGCACCGCAACCCATGGCATAAGGTGAAACGGAGACGAATCTCAAAATTCTCGGCTATTCTCACTAGCTGAGTCAATGACCAGGTCTGTCTGCTAAAGCCGAAAAGGCCAGAAAATGGTCAGAACATGCAACGGTCCGGCGATCTAGGTGATGTCTGCCAGCAGGACATGATGCCATGGCCCCCGAAAAAATTCTACCATCTGTTCTTTGACACGAAGATCGTGCCGTAAGGCCTCATTACGATTCGCATGCCCACCTGCATGTACTCAGCTAATCTACCTCTTCGGATGCGGCACGTCTTCTCCGCGTTGGCGTAGTGCCGCGGCAGATCCATGATGGTTGGCTCGAAGCACGTCTGGGCAGCCAAAAGAATGCATGGCTTCTGCAACCTGTGAGTACTCGAGGCTTACCCTGAAGGCACATGGCTAGTTCAAAAATGCAGGTCCCCACATAGGATGTCACAAAATACTAGACCCACAGCGCTTTTAGTAAAAATGGTGCAGGACAGTATTACCCTGAAAGACCATAGTTTCCACGGTATACAAGGCACTTCGACTTGCGTAGGAATTCTCCGTATAAACCATATCACAGGTGAAGTCCCTAAGGTATATTATGGTATACTCCCAGCTTCCCTTTTGAAGAAGGGCTTGCTCCCTCCGGTCGTCCCGCCCCCCTTCTCTTCTTCAAACCTACTGGACTTGCCAAAGTCAGGGCAGAAGCTCTGCAGCGCTGGGGACACGACTTCCCACCAATGCACCTGACACTGACAAACCCCTTGACTGAAATGCAGGGTTTAGGGTCTAGGGTTTAGGGCAGTTCACTGCAATAATAAGGTTCAGGTTCCTGATGAATATTCGATGAATGGTACCCTGCACCGATGATACTATGAAGCAAGAGCGCTAGAGGTAGTGTGACTCTTTTCAGGTGTCAGTGTGACCCACAAATAGTTTCCAGAGTTTTGATGCTTGGGCTTGGAGTGGATCTTGGATTACAGAGCTCCATTTAGCATTTGCGGATGCCACATGGTACTTTTCATAAGTACAGGAACCCCAATAGAGACCTCCAAGACCTCCAAATACTACAATACTTATTACAGGACCACCCCCAAGATACCCCTGACTTTGGGAAATCCCCATGTGTTGATCAACCGGCGGGGTCTAGGTGATAAGGCACGGACTTCGGCGGACAGATCCGAAAAAGAGAACCCAGGAAGCCCCATACCCCGTAATTAGGGGATACCCCAAACCCAAAACCCTTTAAAATGTATTCCCTTGATGCCCATAGCATGGATGCTGTATTCAGCAGTGTCACTGCCGTTCCCCCTCGCCGCAAGACTTGGGCGCAGTAAGGCAAAACGGGAAACAGGTATAGTCCCCCTTAAGTGGATAAAATATGGCTTTGGGTATATTATAATAAGATTCCCATATACCCCATATTCTACCTGCTTAACAATGACAACATTCGGCCTTAAGGAGCCATGGGGAATGCCTTCGAACACGCCAGCAAACAAACGCGAAAACCAGTCCTAAAGCCCAAGCTAACAGGTCTACACCCCCAAGACCTCCACTCCCAAAAAACAGAACATCAGAACATCCCAAAACCCCTAAACCCTCAACCCTCAGCCCCCAAACCCCTGAACCCTAAACCCTATCCTAAACCCTAACCAGGAATTGTTTGGAATTAGTCAGGCTACACGAGTCCCAGAGTTGCTTATGCCCGCTCTCCATCAAAAAGCACGCGGTCTAGGGCTCCGGGTTGCTATCATTATTACTCCTACCACTTTCATGTTCTAGATTAGTTTTCTTGCTATTATTGACTTGTCCAGTATGGCAGTGAAGCCTGATGATGGCAAGCGTTAGGGATGGATAAGTTTTGAGCAACGGAAGGGGGATCGCAGCCTTATCTTCAACGTACCGGAACATGTCCTTGTCAATCGGGTCCTGTGCAATCGCTACGGAGCCTAGGCCCTAAACCCCGGACCCTAAACCTCAAACTGAGGGCGGGAATAAGCACAAAGAGCTGGGCTTGCTAGGGAGCACGGGATGGGATTGCTTCAGAGCAATCATTCTTTTTTCTGTACCAAAACCCTCCTAGTACCCTTTACTGGGGATATAATTATGGCCCCTCATGGCGTGCACTTAGGCCTTACAAAAGGTTGGAAGGAGAGTCTAGGTTCTGTAGTTCTGACTGAGCTGGCATTTCAAGGGGTACTCGCAGCTCCGAATCGGATACTTCTCGAACGCATGGGTTCCCGTCTTGGCCATGGGAATGTCAGGGCTTCATGCTTTTTATGGGGGATTCCGCGGGGGAGCCCACATGTTGAGAACGATGCCTAAAAGAGCTTTTCGGTGTTATCTGCACTCCTCATGAAACCATGCATTCACGCCCTAGTCTAGCTACGCAGCTCATGCCTGAACACCGCCTCACATCATGCAAACTTTGACCAAAGGCCTGGCTCCAAGTGCTCGTGCTCCAAAGCCCAAATCGTCCTCCTTACGTGTAGCCCAATTCCACATCAAGAGTCCTCCTTGTCTCGGTGCTGGTCAAGCTCTTTGTTCAGTTCCTGTGGCGAAGTCAGAGTGGGCTCTGCGGCGTAAGATGTTGCAAGTATGTAGAGGACATTCCAAGGGATGGATGCCCACTCCAGGATGACACAGCCTTGTTATGCCGACGGCTTCCTCACTGACCTCGAAAAGGTCAACCACGTCCTCATGTCCAGCCCTGAATCATCATCGGCACCTAGTTTGACAGACCACACAACTCTATCCGACTCTATCCCACAAGCCCCTTCTAGCCCTAGCCCCTGCCCTCCTGAACGCTTTAACCCTAAGGCTCGGCTCCTGCACCTTCTCTTCTGTCAGCCTCCTTCGCAGCACAAAGTTGATGGCAAACTCATAGTCCTGTCGCAATAGGCGCAGGCTAAGCAAAGAAGCGGCAGCATGTTCGCCTGCTTGCCCCAACAGCAGCTGGACATCTCATCCTAACAAGATGCGGTGGTTGCAGGAATTTTCACTTGCACTTCGCTATGAACCTTACGCCCTAGAGCTGTACATAACCCCTATATAACGTGTAATTCCTGTAGTTTCGATTTTCTTTTCCATTATCCCAATATATAACCCCAATATACCCCACCCAGCTAAAGTATGCTGAAGATCCCGAGTGGTGTCAAGATTCTCCATCCTCTACAGTAGGTTTCCTAGGACTGCCATGGCCCTCTCTACTACCATGCGCCCCGCCGAACACACAATAACAAGGCCTGCCCCGGAATTGAAGTGGAAAAGGCTTTTGCGTAAGGGGTTTGGGGGGTTGGGTATGGTGGCATACGACAAAACACTAGTGTTCTCTGTAAGAACATTTCTGAGAACATACGATACTACAAGGTCACACATATGTTCAATAATCTCCGTACCTAGAGGAAGACGAAGTCTGGATCCAAAGCCCGCTGCACAACTGCCAAAAGCCCGAAACCCTGCGGGCTCCAGCGCTGCAATTCATATTGACGTTGGGCCCAGCAAAGTCCATACATACAATCTAAGGTAGGGGCCTTCATAATGATGAGCAACAACCTAAACCCTAAACCCTAAATCATAAACCCTAGACATCATTTTGAAGGCTATTTTAGGTACCCTATACTACTACAGAAGGAATCTGGGATCATAATATTAGCAACTTTTCAGGCTTCCGCATTTCCTTACTTCGGGCTATCTGGAGCCCCAGGGATGCCCTGCAAGACTGAATGGCCCCACCCCCATATGGCTATAGAGGGCTATATAGGGTTATATAGGGCAATCATAGGCTTGTAATATGGGGTCATATAGGGTTATATAACCCTCAATGATTGATCTAGAAGCCTTGAAGGCAAAAACGCAGAAATGCAGGCCCCTACACATTTTGAATGAGGTCACGGGTAAATATTCAGGGTGTAACATAGGTGCTGCTCGTAAATCTTCAGGCTTCTTCAATGATTCTACAGTAGCCATAGCCGTCCTTTAAGTAGAATCTGCATTCTGGCACCTTGGATCGTGGACCAAACCATGTGGTTGCTGCCCTTCACTTGCACCCAAGCCGAAATTCCCCTTAAGAAGAGAGACTATGGGGAATATGGGGATATCTTCTATTACAATATACTCAAAGCCATATTATATCTACTTAAGGGGGACTATAGCATCAAATTTCGGATTTCTTCAAGCGCGGACAAGGTTTCGCAAGCGTCTTCGCCAGAGGACCCCTCAAAAGGACCCTAAAGCCGTTTAGGGTTTGGGGTGCCTAAAACCTGAACCCCGAAATGCTTAAGGGGCTGTTGGGGAGTGGATCCGTGTAACGATCCCTGTAGAATCCCCTATGATAGTCTGCATGATTATTCCCTGCCCCTCAACCCCATAGAGCAACAATAAGAAAAGCCCAGTGAAACATGAAAGCACGGGTCCATCAGAAACATCAGCGGTGGAAAGATGAAGTTGAGCGCCTCAGAAGGGCTACTGTAGGAGCCTGAGAGTGTAGCCCTAAGGGTCCAAGGACTCAAATAATCGGGTTTTAGGGCCCAAATACTATAATATCATTGGTATTTGGGCCCTAAAACCCTATTGTTTGGGTCCTTGGATCCTTAGGGTAGGTCAACTCATAATCGCTTAATCCTGAAAAAGAATCCCTAATGATACGTGGAGTTATACAAAAGGATGAAAAAAAGGTGTCTTCAGGAACAGAAAAGACAAAATGGAAACTGCAACACTATTCCCTGTAAACCATGATTTTGTTCAGAATTTGCGGCTGCCCTCAACCCCCCCCCAAACATTATTATTCTCCCGAATGTACAGTGATACTATGTTGGGGTGGGTTATTATTACGGAGAGGGGGATGAGCTACCTGCACATACCCGTACTGCACGTCCTGAACGTTCTATGATGTTTCCTGTCTCCAGGAGCACAGCATTACAACACGAAGTATCCCAAGAGGGCACTAACAGCCAGTCAAAGCCTGGAGCCAAGACAGGCGGACGTGCGATAAGACCCTGGATT